TAAACTTAATGCAACATTATCTATGAAAGCTTCGACAGTGCCAGTTTGTTTTCCACTATTATAGAATTAGAATTATACAATTAGATATTGTAAGATGTTACCTTAATAATAGAAAAAAATATGTAGAACTAAAAAGTTTTAGTGGCTCTGAAGTAACAACTTATAGGGCAGAAATAGATAACATAAAAAAGGTGTCCCACGAGGCTCAGTTTTGGGACTTTTCGTTATATTTATAAATGACCTCATTCATTTCATGATAGCAAAATTACCAACTATAAAACTAATAGTATTTGTCAATGACACCAATGCTGTGATAACAGCCATTGAAATTTAATTGAATTAAATTGTTAAGTTAATGAGGTTCTTCAAATATTCTCAACATGGTTTTATAAAAACCTTTTGGCTATTAATGTACACCACAAGGCTCAATTTTAGGGCCAGTACTATTTTTAATTTACATAAATGATTTAGTAAACTTGGTTCCTGAGTAGGCATTCACCAGCTTATTTGCTGATGATACTCATCTTGGAATAAAGGACAAGTCTCAAAATAACCTCGAGCAAAAAATTGAGATAGTTATGGATATTTTGAAGGAATGGTTTCAGGCCAATGGTATATTACTTAATGCAAATAAAAGTACAATAAAACATTATCAGGATAGAAAACGGTTATCTCAGAACGTACTTGTTACAAATAATACTTTTCTAGGTTAAACATTAAACTATACTATGAGCCACTCTTGTCATATAAACAAGCTATGCAAAAACTAGCTAGAATACACAACAAAAACTGAACGTGCACTCCCTATTAATTTATGCAGTTACTGTCTGGGGAAATACTTCTGATATAAACCGTGTACTCAAATGCCAATAAAGGTCATTAAAAATTATATACTAAATGGTTTGTGTAAACGTACGTCAGCCAAACCTTATTTTAAACGAAATAAAAGAATGACAGTTATTTCTTTATACATATACAAATGTTGAATAAAAATACATCATGATCGGGATTCACCTTTGAGAAAGATGGCCATCTATACCTATAACTTACGTAATAAGGAACTATTGTATTTTCCTAGAACAAGATTGGTAAAGGTACAAATACAAGGCATGTATAATAAAATTATAATGTATAATAAATTCCACCTCGATTTCATAAAAATGATGTTCCTGTCCACTTCACGAATGAAGGACTTTATAAAAGCTACAATGAATAATGATGTTATAGTAGAAATGCAGCAGACTATCTATTCAATCGGAAAAAGGAGCTTGAAAATGTAGCAAACAGCGTAAACTTGTCTGTATTGAGAAGTCTTAGGGATGTGGCCTCGGTTAAACAAAAATGGTGTATTAAGCTTTGATAGACTCAAAACTATAATCTATTGGGGTAATAGCTATCAATGCAACATACAAAAAGCCTTTACAGCGCAAAATAGGGCAATCCGAATAATTTATCACCTGACGCAAATAGAATCATGCAGTGAGTATTTTATTAAACTGGGGGTTTTAACTGTTACATGTTTTGATTTTATTTTATAATGTGATATAATTAAGTATCCGGAAAAAGCAGAGACAGCTCTGGAGAACGAAAAAAGGCTAATTACAAGAAAATTTTAAGAAATGTTAGATATTTTTTTAATTCAGAGCAATATAGCAATGGACTTTTTATTGATTTTAATATTTTTTTTTATAAATTATTTGTATCATTATTTTTTATTATTGGAAGTCCAATGAATTTGTAATTATTGTATGATTAGGTGTAATGTTCAACGCAATAATTATTTTGCTATGAATAAACAAAATAAAAAATATATTGATGGATGAGACAATATATCATGTTACAGTTTATCCACACCGGTTTTCCTTATGGATGGTTTTCGTATACATATTCACTTCTTTATTTTCTGTCAGTAACTAGAATCTAACTGGATTTCATACAATCTCTGTGATATTGCGTTTTCTAAATATATTAGAAAAATGTTACAAAAATGTCGTTCTTGATAAATGAGATTTGTTGAAGCTGATTTTTCCCTATATATTTTCTACTATGCGAATAGATTTGATAAATGAGATACAATACAATAGTGATAATAGCTCGGTGGCGTAGTGCATAAGCGCCGGGGCCCGCGTTCGTTGTTGTTAAGCAATTTTTGCAAGGGTCAGTCACGTGATGGGTGACCAAAAAATTATTATCTCGAGCTACTCCGTGCTTCGGAAGGCAGGTTAAGCCGTTGGTCCCTCCAATCCGCATTGGGCCAGCGTGGAGGGTAATGAGCCATTCTCCTTAACCATCCATAAGGAAGGCCTAAGCCCCTTAGGAAGTAAAAGGGCTGATGATGAACAGTCATAGATTGGGCTCGAATATTATATAACATTCAAGTTCAATTTTGGGTGGGGTGGAATTTAAACTAATTTATTATTAATAGTTAAAACTATTAATAATTCCTATATATAATACCTATTAGATCATTTGATAGGCCCGATTGGTAATTGCGTGACTTCTTCATTTTGAAAGCTTTTTAATGCTGTAATAAATTCTTGAATATTCATTATGAAAATTAGAACAAATTTCCATCTTTATCGAATGTTTAAAATATTTGTAAAAATATCTCTTTCGGCTGTTTGGGTGGATTGTCTGAACATTGTTGAAAATACGCTCTGTAGTAGCGAAAACTAACAAGTACTTGAAAAAATCACCAGTCCTATTAGGTTCTGGGTAGATCACTGGTTAGAGCAGTCGCCCGGATGGCGCAGGTCGTGTGTTCGTTCGAGTCCCATCTCTGGGTACTTGGGACTGGTGGATTAACATTTTTCATTAAGAAGATTAATCAATTCATACATATATGTGTATCTTAGATTTTCCATCTTTATGTCATTTCGACATTGACTTCTCTTGTGACACTAAATGTATAGAGAATACAAATTTAAGTTTAATCGGATTCGCTTTCGAAGTGAGTTCGGTCACCAGAGATAGTTCTAATTCGAGTTTGTATTTTAACGGAATCGTATTTTTTCCTATGGTACGGCAGTAAAAAATCTACTTTTGACATGGCTAGAGAAGCCTCGTCAATTTTATCTGCGAATGTTCCCATCAATACGTTTCAACTTCAATTTGAATTTCGCATGTAAATACTCTTTCGAAGATCGAAATTAAAACTCACTTACTCAGATACAAAAAAGGTTAGGTTAATCTTCCAATTGAGGTAGTATGTTGCGTGAATGCTATTAATGCGATTAATCATACTTATTGATTTACATGCCATGTGCACTAGCAATTGTGAAAAGGGTTTAAAAAAAAACTAAGTTATTTTTATATGAAAGAATGCTTTGCTATAATGGTCTCGATTTGTATAGAGTAGAAACCGATTTACTATGTCTATACCCCGAAACTTTCCTACCACAAACGCAATGGTATAAAGGAATAAAAGAGAATAACAAAATTGAAACTTGTTCATACAAATGATGACGATAATCTTCATAAGCTTCGCAAAAGAAAGGAGTACTGTATAAGTATTATGTCCATATCTAGTGAATGCGCAGATTTCGTTTTGTTATCTTTTTCTTCTTCAGGCCATTCTTAAGCATCAATGGATTTAGCTAAGCTTAGATGTAAATCATAATAGCACGGTATGTATGTATAGCACATATCTTTGATGGGAGTGCACCCTTAAAGTGAGCGTCTACTTCGCTGGTAACATGAGATCATTCGACATTTCTACATATAAACGTAATTTACGGCGGATACGCCGTGATATCCTTTATTCCGTATACGCTCGTCGTACTATACATGATAGCGTGATTCGTAAAATTTATAGACAAATTGGAACAAATGATAGAATAGGTGGAGTTTCGCTATATCTGTGAAATTGGACATCTAAGGTCAAGTGGAACTTTAATTGATTTGTTGTTACTCGGTTATTTAAAAACTACTTTTTTCAAGTGGTCCTATTGTAATAATTAATTTAGATTATTTTACAATTTCATAAGACGCTACACGGACTTTTTTAATTATTATCCTAATAAATCTATTGAATACTAAGTATAATAAGTCTAAAAGTATCCATTGAATTTCAGAAAAAAACACAGAATTAAAGTTCAGAAAAGATAATTTATCAATTTTATTGGCATTTGAGTACTTTGCATCACCAAAATGTGGTATTCATTCTCATAGTTAGCTACCTCCGGTACATGGTCAACTTTGGTCAAGTAGGGGAATACTCTATTTTTGAGTACGGTAATGTATTAATCGATTTGCATCGATTTCATCCATATGGAAGGCCAGAGCCCCAGTGGTGGGGCCATTAATAGACTGGTGTGATGATGATGATGATGAATGTATTTAAGATATCAGGTAATAAATAATATTACCAACACATATACACTTTTCGACTGTGACTCATTTCCCAGCTCTTTTTCCATGAAATCAGCCAGCATCTGGCCTCTGGTGTGCCGGCATCCAAATCCAAATTGCCCCATTCTCAATTTTCCACTGCAACGTTTTCCTATCTTCGCGTTAAAGTCCCCCATCAAAACCATGTAGTGGGTATTGTAACTATGCATGGCTTTTGAGATCTCCCCATACATAGCCTCCATATCATTATCTGGGTGCATCGAGGTCGGAGTATAAACCTGTATGACATTCAAAGAATATCAATTTGATATTCCGAGTATCAGGTATGCTACCCTGTTCGACACACTTCCAATGGTAATCATGTTGTTTACAAGGAACTTGTGGATGATGAACTCAATACCACCTAGGGAATGTTGATTAGCTATTCTACCAGGTAGTATAAAATTGCAGTATTGCAGTAAAGATTAAATAAATTAATACGTACAAGATACGTGAGAACAACATTTGCGTTCTAAATATAAAATCATACCATGCGGGCAAAGCATCTGGTGGTAAGTTAGATTTTAATAATATTATTGTAATCTTTAATCTCTGATCGATCTGAATATCATCGCCAACGTAAATTCTAGTTAGCTGTATAAGGGCTTAACGAAGTAATGATCATGTTATGTAGGATCCTTAGATATATAATCTAAAGCAGGATCTATTTCAATACTTTACTTGATATTATTTGTGATTGTAATAACATACTAATTGCTATAGTGAACGCATCAGTGAATTTAAAGTCAAAATAACATTAATACAAGTAATCTGAGAGAAAAGTGCTTAAAATTTCACCAGTTCCAGAGATGGCATTCGAATCCATAACCTTTTGCAATCCAGAAGTATGCTAAAATATAAGTAAACTAGCCTTCCGCCTAGGAAATTGTTTGTTTGGATATCGATTCATATCATGACACGGATATAATTACAACGACATATTGAATAGTAAACAATGGTTGCTATGGTAACGTCTTAATTCTCTATACAAATTTTGGCTCCCATTTTCTTTTCTTTGTTTGATGTTTTTCGAGATAAAATATAACTTATGCTCACCGCATATAATGTAGCTTTCTTTAAGTGAAAGAATTTTTAAAATCGGTTCAGTAGTTTCGGAGCCTTTTCGTTGCAAACAAACAATCAAGCAAACAAAGAAACAATCAAATTCTTCTTCTTTATAATATTAGTATAGACATAAGGAATATGTATAAAGTTGAAATTAAACAATTCTTTAAATCACTATTGCCACCCCTGAAAAGTTAAAAATACAAAACCATGATTATCATGTCAAAACTGAAACGGGATATTAAAGTGTCAAAATCAGAACTAAACGTATTCTAATAAATATTGATCATCATTAGCATCACCAGCTTATTAATGTCCCCACTGCTCCAGGACCCAGGCCTTCTCCATGGATGGAATCGATTCGAATAGGAAGAATGGGCCATGCCCCACCACGTGCCCAGTGCGGTATGGTGGCTATTAACGTCTGCAGATGTAGCCGGCACCAATGCTGAAACACTATGGCTTAGCGTGGCTTCCGAAACACAGAAGAATCCCAAATAATAAATTTTTTGGTTACCAATCATATGACCGGGCATTGTAAAAGTTGCTTAACAACCGTATAGCAGATCTAGCACGCTAACCACTGCGCAATCGAGCTCCTATTATACTAGTAAAAATATTGATACTAGTTTTATTTCGCATCCATGCTGGTAAAACCCGCAGGTTAAAACTTTTACCTGAAAGTAGATGCAGTTTGTAATTTTCTTTTAGATTTCAAAAATCCATTTAGTTTTTGCAAAAAAATTACAAGTAACAGGTTTTATTACGAGTTATAGTAGGTATCTTAAGGCATCCATATACTCTATAGTCTCCTGAAGAGGTTTACATAATCTCTGTGCAAGGAGATCAGAGCGTGTGTGGGAATAGACCGACATGCTTATTCTTGAACGCAATCGCGATCGGTCGACATTGCAATTGTGACTTTTCGTACTCTTGAGTTGGTACAATAGCGCCGATAGCTCAATAGCAATGTTTATTGAATTAACTAATTGATACTAAATAAGAATAGAGTTTATCTTTCAAGTTTTTGAGCTTCAACCGTGCGACACACTAGTGATATGCAGTTGATCTGGTAGGAAAACCTTCGCAGGTAACCTCACTTGTAGACTATGGCATGTATGGCGTATGTTGGGTTCATGTTTATTTGTGAATATGAATGTTCAATTTGTAATAAGTAATATTCTGCTCACCAAAATGCTGACGTATCCATGGAAGCTATTGTATGCTTCAACGACATCCCAGAAATTACCAGAACAGTAGTCGCACGCCCCAAAATTAACATTCAATTTTTTCTTTGCATCCTTGACCATCTTCACTAAGGTTGCCTCGAGATCTTCTACGCCATTCTTGGATTGTTCCCGAAGAACTGACAAAATTTGAGTTTGATTGTAACCCTCTGATGTATTACTCGACGCAGCTAATATCTCTTGGAATATGTCCAACAGTGTTTGAGATCTATTGGACATTTTGATTAACTTTTCCTCAGACCACCTGGGCGTTACGATGATTGCTTTCAGCTCATATCTTTTGCGTTCTGCAACAAAATAAACATATTATTAATAGATATAGAGCATTATCAATTCATTTTGTCGGGACATTAGTTTTGATACGTAGGCAGGCACTAACGAAATTAATGAGTTGTTGGCAGACAAATAGAATTTACACTAAGCAAAATAATTGAAGCTCTGTTTTAGTATTATTTTAGATATACAATTTAGCCGCTTGGGTGGTCAGTCGTTACGAGATCTATTTTCTGTTCACATTTTTATTTTATTTTATTTTTATATTTCCTATATAATCAGTACATGGACCGCAAAAATAACTATTAGCCAATATTCTTTCAATTTCAATATTGAATATAAATTTGTTTTTAGATCTCTTCGAAGAATTTTCCTAAATTGAAAAATAAATAGATACATACATAAATATAAGAACACAGCACTTATATGACCACCAAAACACCCAAACACAAGAAAATATAGTAAAGTTCATTTTCTGCAACAATCCGAACCCAGGACCTCAACGATGCCGATACACAGGTGTCCTCCGTGATCGAGTAGCTCGCATGTTAACCTTAAGTGACGTGCGAGCTACTCGATCACGGAGGACATCTGATAGGAGGGAAATCTAGCGAGTACGAAGTCTGACGCTTGGTTTTTATATGCAGTGCTGCAGATTTAGTATAAAAATTGTTTTTATGCTGGTATGAGAGGTAATAGCAACACAATTTATTAATTTCAATAATATTAAACATTTTATTAAGATTGATAAACATGTTAATTGAAATTTTATCGCTTGTTTTGTAACGTTCACTAATTTTTTCAGTAGGTATTTTATTACTATCCTATATAAGACAGTCTGTAATCTGTCTAAGAAAGCTTGTATACTAAGGGATATAAGGGTAGAAACAGCAGTAAACATAAAGATTACGTAATACAATTTCGTTATATAACTATAACATCTGTCATTATCATGTTAACATTGTCTACCATAATGACCTGTATCCTTGTTATAGGATAGTCCCCTTAAATTGAGAACTGTTGATAACTGAATGGTACGATGGAATGAAGTATTTACGATCAATCAATATTAAAAATTAGTAAGAATGTGATAGTCAAAGATAGTGTCCGAATTAAAAAATGTAGACTATTATAGCCACTGATCATCACAAAACAAACTGTTGTAGCATACGACTATGCTGTTCTTTGCTATTATAATATATCTATCGCTATAAATTAATTTCTTGTTTCAAACTTTTTAGAGCTGTAGTCGGGTTTAAGTTATTGAACTTTTTTTTTATTCATTCATTATCCGATGTATTTAGCTATCAATATAAATTTGAAATGTGCTAATTAAACCCTTTCATTTGATACCTACACGGAAAGATTGAATAATATATTTATCTAGTTTCTTACTTTATGCACTCTAGAAGGCGTTGTTGCCAATTTAATGTTATAGTACAGGATCCCACTGCTCGATCCTGCAGGTATTTGTTTTTTATTGAAATTAATTTCAAATGAAAGTTAAGGAAGTATACAATAGATTAGCGATAGGTTGGCTATTAAAAATTAGCCGCAATTACTTGTAATTAATTTTTGTATAATTACTTTGGTAATGTATATTGCAGCTATATGTTTTTTTTAATAAATTTTATGTTTCAGAGAAAATGATGAGGAGAACAGAAAAAGAAATGGTTGTCAGCTCTCAGTTAGCCGCTACGCCAGAGTTGCCAGGTGTAAACAGGTGTATTACTGTTGATAATTTACAATATCTGTTTTTTTTTTATATTCAAATGCAAAATTAAAGTTTTATTACTCCTGTGTACAACAATCCATGGTTGCCAGTTAAAAAATGGCCGCCAGCAGAGGTTGCCATTCATAGCCTATAGGACCTCATTTGTCCAGTAACGATGAGCAGTTTCGAATTTATAATGGAACTGGTGAACATTATTACATACATATAATCCGGCCAAAATCATAATCCTCTTTTTCGCTTCTCCGTAGTCAGGTAAAAATCTAGATTACCACGTGTGCATTTATTGGAGTATACTAAAATAAATAGTTGAAGTAAGGTACTGAACTCTTAAAATCGACATTCGATATACATATTGTGGACTATTTCTTCGTCTGTTCTGATCTTACTTACGCATTTTTGTATCATAAGGGGCACGATGAAGTTGACGATATATTGAAAATAAGCTTTATGAGGACAACCTCTGAACACATAGTATATTTATTATTTATATACGTACATTTCAAATTTTTCTCACAGTCTGACATAGCATGTGATGTAAATGAATCTCGATTTCGAAACTACATTAATCAAACAAGTTCTCATTTTTAAATTAATGCAAAACCATTATTATTTCAGATGTATTAGGAAGCATCCTTCCTCATACTATTCATTTGAAGAGTGAATACAGTTTTATCTTACAGATTGCGAAGAACGTTATTGAAAAAACAATTTAGATAAACAACTGCATCGTATAATTAAAAGCTTAACAAGAAGTGCAGCCTATTTTTAACCGACTTAAAAAAAGGAGGAGGTTATCAATTCATCTGTATATATTTTTTCTGATTGATACCTCATAACTTTTTTGATGATTCTTTCTTTATTTGAAAGCTAGTGCTTCCCGTTTTAATTTGCTCCAGATCTGGCAATGGCATTTATGAGAAAACCGTATAAGTTTTAAATTTGCATTAAGTATGCGTGATGTTTGTTACCCCAAAACTCAAAATATCACTAAAATGCATGAAATAAAAACTTTATTAAAAAAAATGGAGCAGACTTCAAATCTAAAAAAGTGAAAAATAATACTTATCTTAAAAGCGGTTAAATTTTTTACTTTTTTTAATTTGAAGTCGGTTTCATTTTTGGTTTCATTTTTTTAATAAAAAGTTTTTGAAAGTTTGATCTGAAATCAGGTAGAATATCATTCTTTCGTTTAGTAACCCTAAACAAAACACATTTTCTTTAATACTTAACGCGCAATTATATATAGGCGGACTTAATGCCTTGGGTATTATCTGCTAGTCAATTTTGGGTGATTTGGAGATTCAATTATGATGAGCGCAGATGCATGTAAAAAAAATATACACTAATTAGGCACCATATATTAATGGATACTTTTGTAATAAAAAGTATTTCTGATTATACAATAAAAAAAATTGTTTTCTTTATTGAATTTTGCTTTAGTTGCTAAGGCTTAATTTATGGTAAAGTACATGAACTCAGACCGTGTTCGTTAAGGTACCAAAGGTCACAAGGCTCCAGTTCCATTATTTTTCTATAGACTAAAGAAGAATTACTATTCTTAATGAAACGTGCTTAAAAAAATCCATTTGTCCCTGGTACTCTGAGTTGGGCCTCTGAGATGAATTACCAGGGGCATATTGGATTTTTTAAGCATTTTTCTTTAAAAATATTTTTCAGTATAGCATTTTGGATGCAAAATTGATCTAATATAATAATATGAATAACTATTATAAGATTTATTATATTATATATTTACTGTATTTAAATAACAATGATTTATTCCTTAAAGACCATAGACTATTATTCTTTATAGATATATTATTCCTAAAACTAGATAATTTGAACTCGTCCTTCTTTCATCTTTCTTTGAAATATTCCTCTGAAAGCTTCCCTAACCACTTTTTGTATGAAATAGTGTTCAGTTAAGATTCTTCTTCTTTTTCTTTTTTAATTAATGGCTTATTTGCGCATTTCGCACAATTCTGCCAATTTCAAGTAAATAAATTAATTTTTACATGTAAAATGAAAATGAAATGAATGAAAGATCTTCAATTAAGATAATCTGTAATGAAGTCTGTTTTAATATGTTTTTCATTCGTCATGCTATTGTGCGTTTCGTTTGGCCAATATACGAATTACCATAACTGCAGTCAATGAGACACAAGATTTCCCCGAGGGGATAATGTGACAGCGATGTTTTTTGTAAAGGAGTGAAAATTGTATTTATTAGGCACTATTTAAATATATTTATCGGTAATTCCTTTTATATATGGAAAAAATATCAGTTATCTGTCCGATTTGTATTCTGATTTTTTTGTCTAGATGATATAAGTGTCTAGGTAATCCCTGCACGCGTAGCATGACAAATTCGAGAAACGCTTTGTCTATACTCATTTGTCAGTTTCTCGGGTCGAGAGTGAGATATAGTATGGGCGCACCCGCGAAAAGTGACATTTGAGTGTAGACAAAACGTTCTCGAGTTCGTCATGCTACGCGTGCTGGTACCCATTACTCTTTAGAACCTTTAGTGCACAGTCCAACTCCATGTGCGTCTTTTCTTCATCACACAGATCGTATGCACGGTTGGTAAGTAATGAGTTTAGATGTAGTCTAATAGTTATTTATAGTTTAATTTCTGTGAGTGTAGTGGAGAAGGTTTCTTTCTCAAAATTCTCTGTCTATATTTTGGCAAGCAATTGAGTTTATGGTTAAAAAATAATAAAAAAAGATACGGACAATGGACGATGATCTACAAAGCGAGTCTAGTCCAGTTGGTGTGTTTTGACAATTGCGAATGCAGTTAGGCCATACGGTTTCACATGTATACCGAAGCACGGAGGAGGACTTTTGGTCACCTTCCTTTCCTGTTTTTTGACCAGCCCTTGCGAAATTTGCTCAACCTTGCAAACCAAGCGCACTAATAATTGCATCATGGAGCTCCTCTATAATCTAACGACACTTTAATACTTATTCGTTGTTAAATTCGTTGGTAAAACCAATTGAAAGTTATTTTTTGTTTATATAGCCTCTTAATTCCCAGCATGCCTGTTGTTTTAATATTTGGATTTCCATAATGGTTTAACTAATAGTTATTACGGCTATTCGAAACAATAAACTTGGCAATAATCGAATATTATATCAACAGAAATTTATTAGCCATAAACATAATGTGTGGGCGGGTTGAGTAACCGCACATAACAACGACACGTTTTCACATCGTCCAACATTTTGTGACTAATGGCTCGTTTACGTTGGTCGACAGTACCCGTATGCGTCACTACATATATTGCGGGCAGCTTTTGTGGGCTTGTTTTATTGAATCGACATCAATGTTTATTTGAATAAAGGATATTTTAATTTTATCTTCTGCATGTCAAACTGAACGCGCTAACCACTGCGATATCTCCTTATTAGTTATCTTAGTTACTTAGAAATTCATACGCAGGATATAAACTAAATATTTAGTTTGTGCCATTAGAATTTCCAAGAAGTGCTTCATTATTTTTACAAAATAATTATAGTAATTATGTTGTACAAACTAGACTAAATTTAATTGAATCCTATCAAAAGGCATTTTCAATATTGTAAATAACTCGAACAACTGATGTAAACTTATTATATCTATATATATAAAAATGAATCGCAAAATGTGTTGGTAAGTGCATAACTCAACAACGCCTCGACCAATTTGGCCAAATCTTTTTTTAAAATGTTCGTTGAAGTTCAAGGATGGTTTTTACGGCGAGAAAAATTAGAATTATTGCTGGAAAAACCCTAAAAATAGCCCTTTTCTTTTTCCCATAC